TGAACTCACAAACCATTGTAGGGAATAAAAAGAAAGAGGGAATAGTCCCTTGTCCTTGAAGAACTTACATTCTAGGCACAACTATAAAAGGGTATATAAGTCACCACAGTGCAGAATAGACCAGGTGTCATACGAAGACAAAAAGCACAATAGGTGCTCTAATGGGGAGGGGCACATGTGGCTGAGGAGCTATGGTAAGAGCAGTATCTGCCCTGGGGCCAGAATGTGACTTTGTGTCTGGGAAGTAAAATGTGGGACAGAAAAGAAGCCTTTCATGCAAAGTAAAATGAATAACAAAAATACAGAGACAGAACAATACAACAAAAGTGTTTGAAAAGCCATAACTCCAAAGTCGGGCATATTATAGCTTCAACCTTGAGTCTATAACTACAGCTGGATGAACACTAAAGTTTCTTAACCACTGGTTTTCTAATCTCTAAAATATAACATGCTTATCTTTCATAAAGATACAGTGAAAACTAAAATTATACATTGTATGCAAAGAAGTTAAGCTGTGTGATAAGTAAGTTACAGAAAATGTATAGGATATCAGGCCACAAAGGTAGTAGGCAGACAGGAAGTTTAGAAAGACTGTGACTAGATCACAGTCAAGGTTCAATTATTAGGGTTCCAACTTAATTCCACAGACACTGAAGGAACTATAAACAATCTTAAGCAGAGGGGTTAGAAACTGAACTTGCTGCAGAACCTGACTGAAAAGGAAGACAGAGAAAGAGAGATTGGTGGTAATACAGTTAGTAGTAGCCTATTTCAAAAATTTTAATTAAGGAACCACATTGGGCAATCATCAATCAATCAATCCATCAATTATTCCATAAATGTTACTACAATTAAACTATTATTCCTTGGTACAAAGGATACATGATTTGGTACCAGAACCTAGCAAGCCATGAATCTACTTACTCCCATACTCCCAGTAATACAATTTGCACATTGTACATGAATTAAAAATAAGGGAGGTATATTAACACAAGTAAAGAATTTGGCCTTTTACACCATATTCCCACATTTTGTAAAATAAAATGGGCTTTTTTGCTTGAAGTGTTCAACTGCAGTATCTGTCACTCTACTCTGAGTAAATCAGATTGCTGATAGCAGAAACCTCCACAAGATGGCACACTACTCCTAATTAAGTGAGTTTGTCCATTCTGATACTATAGACTCTATCAAATATGTGCTAACAGAGAAAGCCAAAAAGTTCGACACAGATCAATTGTCAACAAGAAGACAGGAACCAGTAAGATGGCTCAGCAGGTAAACCCTAATGATCTGAGTTCACTCGACTCCATATGCATGTCTTGACACTGACCCCACACAGGAATCATACACATAATAAAAAGCAGAAATACAGGACATGAAGTTTGATAGCAATTAACAACCCAAATTCCCCTTTATTCGTTTTATAAAAAACGTAAAGGAATGGCTGGGCAGTGGTGGCACACGCCTTTAATTCCACCACTGGGGAGGCAGCGGCTTTCTGTGAGTTTGAGACCAGTCCGGTCTACAAAGTGAGCCAGAGCTACATAGAGAAACCGTGTGTGTGTGTGTGTGTGTGTGTGTGTGTGTGTGTGTGTGTGTGTGTGTGTGTGTGTGTGAGACGACACGACATGTCTTTCAAGGAAAACTGAGATACATTTTTTTATTTTATTTTGCTTTTTAAAAAGCACTTTAATGTAATTGCTATAGAGGTAGTTCAAGGTTCAGAAACTTAAAGAGGAAAGCTTCTAAATGACAAATCCCCAACAACTTCTTCTGCAGGTATCTGATGAGAGATGTCCTTTTGTACATATGCTTCTCTTATTGGTTGATGAATAAAACACTGTTGGCTAATAAGGCAGGAAGACAGATGGGACTAGGAGATGAGGAGAATTCTGGGAAAGGTAGGCAAAAGTCACCCTGTGGAGACTGGGAGGACAAGACGTGCCAAGTGTTCTCTGGTAAGTAAGGCCATGTAGAAATACATAGGTTGGCAGTTATGGGTTAATAATTAAGACACAGCTAGTCAATAAGAAGCCCAAGCCATCAGCCAACAATTTTATAATTAACATAAGTCTCTGTGTGTTTATTTGGGGCTGAAGGGACTACAGGACCAGACAGGAAAGAGAAACTAGCAACAGGTAACAGATAATGGGTATATGTTGCCCGAGTGTTTCCCCAAAATTCAGTAATAAGAAGAATAACCTAACATAAGATAATCCATGCTGAAACAAGATCTCTCCACACAACTGCTTTACCTGAACCACAGATGAAACCCAATTCACAATTAAAGATTATTAAGCAGAGAGATGTCAGGTTCAGGCACTACAATCAATAAAACTAACATACAGTAGGCCAAAGCATCCATTCATCTGCTACCATGGTACGTACAATATGATTCTCATATGATGGGAGAAATTTTGTCAATTAAATTGTTAATTTAAGACGCTGTACATTTTTATGGTTACTCTATCCTTGGATCTGAGTGAAATGGCATTAAGCAAACAAACAACTATTGACTGGAAAAGGGAAATGAAATTTAGGAACTATTAGCCTTAATGTTTAAGAAAACAAGATAAAGGAAATCCTGGGAAGCAACAACTGCTTTGACATATAGCCATATTAAACAAGCCAAAATAAAGTTTACTTAGTTTTATAGGCAAGCGCCATTATGCCTACTTATGCTTTTAATTTCTTTCTGAACCTGACTGACTGCTAATTGCGGTTCTTTTGTTTTCTCCTTTTTATGTCATGCCGGGAAAGAAGCATGACAGTTATTGTACTTAGGTAAATATTCTACTGCTGGCCAAAATGATGGATACAGCTATGAGACAGCACAATGTTCCACTCCATTCGCCCCTGCTCAAACCTGAGTAAACACATATAAGCTCTAAGGTTAGGAGAAACCTCAATGATGAATAGATTCCAAGCAGGTGAGACAGGGAGGCTTGGTGAAGAACTTCTCTTAGACATCCACACACCCTACAACAGCAGAGGAAAACAACATAGAGACTATTACACTGCACCGAGCTAGAAGAAGCTTAGCATGGCTTACTTCCATCATTGACCACACTAGAGGAATAATCACAGGACTAGACAGCTTCACTGCAGAATTTAACAAGACCTTCACAGAACCAAGAGCAATTATCCCATAAAACAGGAAAAAAAAAAAGGCTTTCTAAATTCACTCTATAAAACCAGTATTACCCTGTTAACAGATATAAAGATATAACAAAAGGAACCAGAGACATATATCCCAGATGAATATACATGTAAAAATCCTTAATAAAAGTCTTGCAAACAATACACTGAGAAACTATATACCATGATCATGGTGGTTTCATTCCATGGATATAAGGATGTATCAACACACGCAAATTAACAAATATAATATTACATGTAAATAGAACCAAGGGGGCAAAAATCACATGATCATCTTAACAGATACAGAAAAGGCATCTGAGAAAATTCAACATACCTTCATAAAAAAAGCCCTAAAGAAACAAGGAACAGGAAACAAGCATACCTTAAAATAATAATGTGTATAATAAACTGATAGCAGATACCACCACGGTGAATGGGGGAAACCTGAAGGTATCTCCTCTAAAATTGCCATTCTTATTCAATACAGAATTGTGGGGGAAGAAGAGAGGAGGATGAGATTGAGATTAAAGGTTATAAGTATAAAAGCCACCATGAAGAAAATAAAACAGGAGCTAGAGGATGGCTCAGCCAGTAAAATGACAACATTCCATGTCAACTTCTGTCTCTACATACATATTCATAAATATGCAAAGGCCCGTGCATGGGTGCACACACACAAACATGGGGATACACAGGTGCTCGTGTGTGCAAAATATGCACACCAAGATTAAAGTCACATGACTGTATTAATCATTCCCACTATATTTCTCAAAACTACAATTCCTATAGTCAGACAAACAGGAATGGCAATATGACGGTGGGCCACTTAGAACTTGTTGAAATTCTGACCTATTGCATAAAACGGTGCGGTAGGAAAGCTCTGTACCTTCATCTCCTGAGAATCAAAAGAAGGCTCTCCGCTAACTTTCACCTTCAGTCACGTTGTTCAAACTAAGTTCTGTCATGGCATCTGCCTATCGCTTGACTCTTTGTTTTCCTCCTTAGAATCCCATACATTATCTTTAAATTATCTTTTTTTCTCACATGTGTTCTTTCCCCATCATGCATGGTCTCTTTCCCACAGACAGCATAGCAATAAGCTCCCTGAAAGTCCTCCCTCTTGAAGGTGGACTTTAAGTGTCTAGGTTGCCTCACCCTGGAGAAAGTGCATTTTACTGAGGCAATTAAAGGGGCTTTTCTCAACAATTTCCCTTGGTATATTATTAGCAAGAATTTGCCTCTTTAGTAAACAAACATAGGCATGCTTGTCACTCTGACACAGAAAAACAAATGCCTAAAAGGCTACATCATATTCAAGACTACTTATGCAGGACAGGCGAGTACTTGCCAGAAGCGGCAGATTAGGAAACAAAAGTCTATACTTTGAAAAAAAACTTTTCCAAAGAGACTCTAATAGTATTCTCAAATTCTAAAAGTTATTAAAGCTATTTAATACTTTAAGTGAAATATTCGATTTTATTACTAACAATTACTGAAAACAGTCAAGATTTAGTACCCACCTGTATTTTTTCTAATTATTCATAAAATATGAATCTACAAAAGAAAATTTTTATCCCTGAAGTACTGAGCCAGCACAACAAAGTAACAAAAAGGCATAAATACTCATAGGAAAGTAAATGCTGCAAACACTGGTGTTGTACAGAATAACGTTTTATACAGCGGAATTATGTGAAGGACACCTGTACAGCAGCCTCCTCTCTCATTGTCAACTTTCAGACATGCATGCAGTCAATGCTGTTCTCTTTGCTATTTGGTTTAACAAATTAACATTTAAGCTTTATCATAAATGGAAAGAGAAGTATGTCCACTCATATAAAGTATTTTAAACGTAGGCCAACGGTAAATTTTGGCATATACTGCCTGAATTTACTGCTGAACTCTATTCACACTTTAGCTCTAGAATTTTGCTGGAACACTGCTATTGTGACTCACCTGTCTGAACATCGATAACCATCTGATGGCCCCCTCTCATTCCTGGTCGGTTATCTTCTCCATCACCTGAAGAAGAGAGTATTTTCTATAATGAAATAATAAAACTTGCAATTCTAGAGGAGGAACCTCATTTGTAAATCTATAAAGGGTAGCAACACTCACATGTACTCCATCAAAATATTATAAATAGTGAGATGCAGAATAAAGGAATAAATATCTTTGCTTCAACTATTCATAAGGTTACAGGAGTCTAGGAAATGGTGTGTGCACAGGTTCCCACAAATGGTAAGCAACTATTCAACCACTGAGTTATACTCTCAGCCCTAAAATTACAGGATTCTAATATCACATTCAATATAAACCAGGAAGCCTAAGGTTTTCATCATATTTCTCCCATTAGTTGAAATAAATTATTTGGCAAATGAACTTCCCTGATCTTCATATGTAAAAGTGACATCATCTAATTCTGTACACCAAAGTTTCACAGGGAAATGTAAGGTGTTATACAGCCATGAGTTACTGATGAGGAATACTTTCTGAGAAATGCACCATTAGACAATTCTGTTTTTGTGTAAACGTCAGAGAACATATTTACAGAACTCTCCATATGGCAAAACACGTTACCACTAAGTACTTCAGCCAAATACAATGTCTATATTTTTCAGAATAGCTAATCACAGAAAAAGGTTCAGTACTAACACTAGATAGGAATTTTTCATCTCAATTAAAAGCTCATGGGATTACCACTATTGACCAAAATGTCTTATGAAACACATAAATTACACAGAAATAGGACATGCCGCCAAATCACTGCACTCAGCAATTCTTCTTCCTTTCTCCTAGCTATGCGCCCTTTAGATCTTGCAGATCGCTGTCACTGAGGGCTTGTCTTTTTCTTCTCTCCTTCCAGTCTGCATTGCTTTTTTTCAACAATAAGTTAGTAAAACACTAAATTGTGATTTCTACCATTGTTTTATGCATTCAATCTGTTTGCAAATACATGTGTCTTTAAACAGATCACCATACACAGAACTATAAAAGTAGGAGTACATTCATGTAACAGACCTTATATAAGTCAGCATGAATTTTGAGCACACATTAGTGAGCAATGCTATAAAAATTGTCTCATGAGTGAAGAGAAAGTCTTGGAAACATAGGAAGACCATAAGATACAACTGAAAACCTCGAGAGCCATCTTTCTTCAATGGAAGCATGTGCATTAAAACACTGCTCCAATCTGGCAAGAGTGAATGCATACAATAAAGTGGCAAAAATAATGGGTTAAAGAAGAATACTAAATTCTGAGTCAGATTTTGAGTTTTGAAAAACAAAACCAAAACAAACAAAGCAGTCCCTTTTAGAAATAAATGCTCCCTAGGATCTGTGTCTCCAAGAGGATGCATGAGATGTGATCACGAAGGCACCCAGATACACAAATCAAGTGCCTTTAAGCTTCAACTGTACTGTGATTTAATTAGAATTACTATGTCAATTTTTATTAGCATCTGTGTATAAAGTTCATCATCTGTCCCTCTTATTCTCAAAGGTCCTGCTATGTTTAGTGAGCAATTTTGTAGAACTTGGTTTTCCAGAAACACCTATGGTGGCACCACAGCATGCCCATCATTTTACACACCTCTAGCTTGTAACAGCATTCTTTGTGAAGAACAAACAACCTCGGTCAACATTTTGTCATAGTGATGAAACAAGAATTTAAAAGATAATTTCAATACAATAAGCTAGGGCTGGGACTACAGCTCACTGGTAAGAGTGCTTACCTAGTATAGACAAGGCCCTGAGTTCAGTCTCTAGCCTCAGGAGAAAAAAAAAAATGATGTATAATAAGCCACTCTGCCACCTAGCTAAGGAATCTATGCTCTATATGAATACCTGCTCTTTATGAACAGATGCTTGGGCCATCCAATGAAAACAGACTGTAAAGTAACACAGAACAGGGCAGACAGTGCAACTCACCTTTGGTGCTCTTAGGAATGATCTGACTCCACCTTGGCTTATACTCCTGCTGACTGATATACTGATTGAACAAGCCATCTGCAAGTATCAAAAATAAGAATTATAGCTCAGCTGGCTCTTCAACCTCCCAGTATACTTCCCAACTATAAAAAATAGTAAATGCCAGGCGGTGATGGCGCACGCCTTTAATCCCAGCACTCGGGAAGCAGAGGCAGACGGCTCTCTGTGAGTTCGAGACCAGCCTGGTCTACTGAGCGAGTTCCAGGACAGCCTCCAAAACAATACAGAGAAACCCTGTCTTGAAAAACCAAAAACCAAAAAAAAAAAAAAAAAAGAAAAGAAAAGAAAGAAAAAAATAGTAAATGATTAGTTAACACAACAATAGAAACAAATTGCATTAGCAGCAGCCCATATTAAACTGGTTTCCATGATTACTACATTAGTTGCTATGTATTTACTACTGTACTCACGAATGAATAAGTATGTAACCTTAACAAGGACCCTGAAAGAAAGAAAACACTGAGAGGGAAAAGTCAAGATGACAATTTAAGGCTGGAAACCAGAAGCAGCAGAAAATGGTTATTAAGTAATCTGAAGCATGGCCATTATATACCTTAAAAAACATTTCTGGCATCAATATAAATACAAACAGGAAAATAAAAATATTCAAAGCTGGAAAGAACATTTGCTTCCTGGTGATTTTCCACTACAATTATTTATTTTATTTACTACTTTTAAAATCCTTACACCTCATAATGAATACATTATTGAATTCCAATGTTTTCCCCTTGAAGAGTACACAGATTTTCTTACCAGATTACAAAACAAACAAACAACAGCAAACAAAAACAAACAAAAAACCCTAAATAAGGAAATATGACCACCAACAGCTTTGGTGTAGGCACTTTATAGTACAACCTCAGAGAAAGAAAAACCCTTTAAAATGCAAATTCCAGTTTTCTTTGGGTACAAAGTGACAGATAAAAGTACAGAATCAAATTCTGGGTAACAAAACAGAAGAAATTGTCTAGAGGACTTGTAAGCAATGTTTCATTGAATCTGAACAGACATACCACCAAGAAAAAAAGATACTTTTGTCTTCTGGACACATTTCCATATACATATGCAATATATAATGTATACAACTTCTAAATCCCATTTGTAGAGCTAGGGAAAGAGTCAATTCTATAGTAATGACAGAGCAGAGAAATATAAAGAAACTAGATCAGTGAACCAACCAACCAGGAAAGCCACCTCACCCATGGACTTCTTGTTAAGCTGACATATCCTTACCAAGCTAGAGTTTTCTTTTACATGTATCCAAATAGATAACTGACAGTGTGCTGGTTCTCTCACAAATTCTGTCTTTTGTCTATGATTTCTATCTGAATGAGGATTTTCCTGCCACTGAAAACAAAGACTTGTTCAAAAATGCTCTAAAATTTCTGTTTTCTATAACTTGCATACTTGGAATTTAAATAACATCCCTAATCTCTTTCTTTTCTGGGTTAGTCAAGAAGTCACTGAATTTCTTTCTTCTTTGCCTTTTGTAACCTCATAAAATTAGTAGAAAAAGAAAAGTTCCCTTATAAATCAGCATCCAAGCCATGGCTACGCCTGAATTCTTACACTATGGAGGCTGAAGCTGGAGACTGTCTTACGAGGGAGGCCAGCTGGGGGCTATACAGTAAGTTCCAGACCTTCCTGGGCTACAGTTCCTGATTCCGTCTCACCTCCAAGTCCTCAAACGCTTAGAGAAGTTGGCACTTACATTTTCATTGTTATAGCACAATTTAATTTAGTGAATGTGTCTATTACATTAATTTCATACTTTTGGAGTCTTGCTTTATTCAGCCTTCCTGATCCAAAACCTTTATCATAGGTTTTGAGAATCTTTTCCCCTCTTCCAGATAAAATGTGCTGGGTTACTGTTCATTGTAGTAATAATAATGGAAAAATAAAGCAATAACAACAAAAAAATTAACCATAACCTCAATATCACATAAAATTTTATTTAACTTTGCAAGGGAAATACAAAAGTTTTAAAATATTAAAGAGAATGTAAAATTGTTTATTAAAGGATTAGACTAGCCTGTGGAGCTGGCTCAGTGGGTAAACACGAAGATGAAGCTTGAGTCACCAGAACCCATGTAAAGCCAGGTGCAGTAAGGCACACCTCTAATCTCAGTGCTCCTACAGACAGAGGGGGGTGGAGACACAGATCTTTTGTAGCTTGTAGGTCTGTGGCCCTGGCATAAGAGGATCCTGTTTCAGATAAGGCAGAAGGGGAGGACAGACACTGGAGGTGTACCTCAGCATTCCCGACCTGTTATGCACATCCCCATGTATACAAACTCATGCAGTAAGACATACCCAACACAAGGACCTACACTTTTAAAATATACATTATTAATTCTACTTAACAGCAGAGACTAGGAAGGATGATGTAAATATATCCGAAAACTGAAGATGGGGACACAAAGTAAAAAAAATAAAAAAAACTACAATGGAAAAATAGTAAATTTTACTTTTCTGTTTTTATTATTATTGTTGTTATTATTATTATTATTTGGAGACACGATCTGGCTATGCAGCTTTGGCTAGCCTGGAACTCACTATGTAGAGGAGGCTAGCCTAGAACTCACAGAGATCCCTGCATCAGCATCTAGGTGCTGAGATTAAAGGTATGCACTGTGATGTCTTCTCCCATTGTCTGTAGTTTTTTTTAATTAGCATACATCTCTTTCCCTGTCCCCTTTCCCTTTCATCTTCCCTTTCTGACAGAATTTCATGTACCCCAGTCTGGTCTCAAGCTCACTATTTGGCTGAGTATGACCCTGAGCTCTGGATCCTCCTGCTTGAGAAGACTATGATACCTGTCCTATCCTCAGTGTATGGAGTGCTGGGATGACACCCAGGGCTTCCAGCATGCTAGCAAGCACTTGCCAACCAATGGACCTCTCCAGGCTAGAGAACAAATTTCAATGAGGAATTTAAAGATACTTATAAAA